GTAAGACATTATTATTGAGAGCTCTGAGGAGTGCTTTAGGTCCTATGTGCTTCCAGGAAGTTTTAGACCAATTGGAGAGAGTCCAGAAAAAGGTTCAAGGTTAGAAGTAATATGTGGTTTACAAGGATAGCTCGAAACAAAAAAGACCTCAGCTTTTAATTGTGCAAAATGCTGGTGTAAACAAATAGGGAGCGTGTATTCCCAGTCTATAGTGTATAGGCTCAATTAAACTAATGCATTTAAATTGAAATAAAGGTGGCTTAGGCTACACATATGGAAGACTTTTAACAGTGGGGAACAAAGCACTAAACAGATTGAGTCTGGAAGGTTTTAAAAATCCAGTGTTGCTCAGAACTGCCAACAGGAAGAGCCTGCTGGAATTGCTAGGTCCTCTTGTTCTCGCTCCTCTCTGTTGGTCTTTTTTCAGTCTTTTGTACATTATGATTACTTTGTTTTATCTTACCTCATTATCTACATTTGTTTCTTTCCTTCTTGTGGTGCTGCCTCGTATTTTCTTCTTCCCTGCCATGCTGTTTTGCTTGTGCTGATTTCCACTAGTAGTTCAGATGTAGAACAGAAAAACAATTGTTTCTCTTCCATGAGTTAGATAGAGGGTTTTTTTGGTCTTGCTTGTACAAAAGCATACTTTCACAAACCACCTTTCTTCTCAGGGGTCAGTTTTTCAGATCATTTTGTCTTGCAGGTGTCCACTGAGCTTAAGTTCTCTCTGCAGCCTCTCTCTTCCATCACTACTTCTGATTTCCATCTGAACTCTGTCTCTGTTCCCAGCTGGATCTCTCGTGTGAAAGTCTGTCAAATATCGATTTGTAGTTGATGTACATTCTGCAACTTTTGTACCTCTTTATTTTGGTTGTCTGCAGGTTTTGGTTTCTTCTGCCTCAGGAGCCGTCACTGTTTTAAAGGGAGGGCACTCCCTTCTGCACAATTTCCCTTTCTGGTGCTTTTTGCTTACTGGCCTTCTCAGTCAGTGCCCTCATTTTTAAAACTTTCTCCAAGGTCTGTTCTGCATCCTGCTTTAGCATCAGGAGTTAACTCTCTGATAGTTGTCCTGATACTTCTGCACTTGAAGTCATTGGCTTATTTTGTTTACTTTTTCCTGGTCAGGCTGATGCAGAGTTAAAAAGAGGAATGCCCATCAATGGTGCCTTCATTGAATTTTGGAATCTAGTAGTGGCAAGAAAACATCTCGGTCTCCATAGGTTTTTTCTGAGTTAGTAGTATATATGCTGACATGCTTTTGTCCTTCCTTATCAGACAACACTAACAGTGTTAGGTGGAAGTGAGCATCTTAATTCCTCTTGGCCTTTTTCCCTGGTCAGAATTTTGAGTGCTGCCCTCATTCAAGTTGTTCAGATCCATTTTTGTTCTTGTCTTGGTTTTGTTCCTCTGCCCGGTTTTTACACAGTTGTCTTTTTAACCAAGTTTTCAATTCAACTTTTATTTAACATTTTCTTTTTGCCATCACAGAATGAATGGTTGTCTTGCTGTCTCTTCAGTCTGTTTTTTTTTCCAGAAAGGCTATTTTGTACATTTGTGGTGAATAGAATCAAATTTCAATTCAGGAACCCTCTGTAGTTGCTGTTGGCACACTCCTCTTCTCCATAGGGCTACCTGGAGGGAAGAACCAAGCCACCTCAATAGGGAAAGGCTGTCAGTTGTCCAGAGAAGCTCCAAGAGATCCCTTGCTGTTATTACTGAGTAGTACTAGAAAAAGCCTTTCTTCTTTCTGCTTTACATTTTATAATCAGAATTCGGTTTTAACTCTACTAATAATGGCATTTTTAAAAACCTAATTAGGAAAGAGGATATTTTTAATTCTTTTAGTGTATACACTGTTTTCACCTATTTTTCAGTTTACTTTGTCAAGAAGGGTTTTCATCTTGAGTGCTTTCTTGTTTCTTAAAGTAGTTGCAGCTGTTAATCCTGGTCATTGGTTCTGCCAGTTCCACTTTTTTTTTTTTACTTCTAATTTTGTTACATTTTAGTGGGTTGGTTTTTTTTTTTAAAAAAATGAGATTTTCTTAAGTGTTAGTAGTCTTTTCTCTCAGCCTAAATCCAATGCCCTTAATACCCTTCATCATTCGTTTTCAAGTATAGCATGAAATAATGGAGAGATACTTCAGGATTTGCTTATCTTAACAAAGGCCCAAATGAGTGTACTAGTGCTGTCCTTTTACAGACATACAGCATTTCCATGGAAAAATTATGTGCTCAAATAAAACAGACTTTGACATTAATTGTTACCATTTGGTAGGAGAATTTTGTCCTGTTTAGCACACTTAGTTATCCCTAACAGGGAAGCAAACTTGCACTGTTACTTTCTTGATTGTTAGTCATGCATTTTTGCTTTGGGGAAAATTTCATTTAAAAATATATCAGTATTTATATTTGAGTATTTATTTTTTTGTGTTCTTTATTTTGATGACCATTAAGGGAATTCCTTGGTACTTTTTAGTAATTCCTGTGATACTGAAAGTCACAAAAGTGAAAGACTCAGGCAGAGAACCCGACTGTCTGTACAGAGTGGGATGCAGTACCTTATTCTTTTAGTGAGGCTGTAGCAGGTCTGATGTCAGTCACTTCAGAGACCTTTAGACCTCAGTGCTCATTTATTGCTAAAATGTACCAGCTCTGCTCCTGCATTATGAAGATCATCTGTCAACACTTTGAGATATTCTCCTTTGTTATTAAGCTTGTGATGCTCTACACTGTCAGGTTTTTTGCCAATTATAGTTAAGGTACAATGGTGTATTCACTGGATCAAAGTCTCACACTGGCGGTAGAGGAATGATTTGTAAGTCTTTATTCATCTGAATTGTACAATAGAATACCTGAGGAATGCAAATAATCCCTCTAAGGACTCAATAGAAAAGCTGTTAAAATGACAGTCTAAGACTATTATTATTCTGAATTGGTGTTTTAGCCAAAGTAATTATTTCTTATCTTGTTGTTCCACAATAGTTCTTAGTTTATTAGTTATGATGACCATATTTGCCAAACAGAATTTGAATCCGATTTCTGACATTATTTTCAAGCTCATTTCAGTTTTTCAAGTTGGTGTGTTTCATTCTGTCTTTCACTTGATACATTATTTAATTAGTCTAGAGACCAATGTTAGATACTTACTTAAAAATATGTGTATTAAAAAAGGGTGTATGCGCAGATGTTGAAGTACACTTATGAATAGCAGATCCCTTTCTAGATACATTTTTGGTGAAAGGTTGGCATTCGTAAGCTCTGAACTTTGTTATCCAGTTTGTTAGCCAAAATAAATTAGTTAACTACAAATGCCAATTTTAGAGGTGCTGTTAAATGTCACACGTCACATTCAGAAATGCACCTTAATTGTGAATTTCAGTTCAGACATTTCTGAAGGCCATAGTGTTTCAGTATCAGTCCTGGATACCAGACTATATTTTCATTGGATAACTGGGGGAAAAAAGATTAGTATAATGAGGATTGAAAACCACTGATGGGGTATTTACATAAGTAAATGATAGAAGACCAGACTTATATAACAAACGTGTGAAAACTGTTGAGTGAACTTTTATATTCTTTGTCCCATCTAAAACCCTACTCAGTGGGCCGTGCACTTAATCTCATAATAGCTCTGATCCCCTGCTATTTTCTTTGACAAATGTGTGTTGATGAACTTGTGGTTCAGTTCATTTTTTTCTGAAGTGACATTTGCATTGATTATTTAAAGGTTTGGAGGCCACAGTTTCAAAGCACTTTAGAATAATAGTAGTTAAAACCTTAGTCTAAATCTTGGAGATTAGCAGGACTAAGAAAAAGAGCTCAGCGAGCATAAAACCCTGTGCTGTATGATGGGTGCTTCAGGTCTGAAACATCTATGGCACCCAAAGTACTGTATTTTGTATTTTGATTCTTAGTGTTCCTAAGAATCATTATAATATGATATATTATATGAATACATAGACATATGATACATAGATGAATACAGTAAGAAGTATTTCTGTGCCTCTTGTGTTTTCTCACTGAGCATACAGAGTTGCCATTCTTACCATTCACACGTGGTCAGAAATAGTGCCCTATAAATGGTATTGAACTCCTTACAGGTAATTTATGAATGTCTCCCTTAAACTGAAAATAAATAGTACTTGCAGTCATGAATATGATGCCTGTGTTTAAACATCAGCTATTGCTGCAAAGATTTTTCTTAATTTTAGTAGGATATTGAGCTAACACAATAAATTTGTAGCTCTAAATTTGTGGTTTTATTTAACTAAAAAAAATAATAGTATCAGTTGTACAGCAAACTATTACTGATGCTGCCAGTTGTGGAAGATGAAGAGAAATAGAAAATTCGATTCCTTATTAAAAATAATAATAGTATAATACCTAGAAGCTTTGCCCTGGGTAGATAGCAGAAAAGTAGGAGAAACTGGTAGAAACGCGGCCCTTTATTCATTAGCTATGGCATACTCCCAAGATCAATAGCCAGAAAAAGCTGGGTGTTGCTTGCTATCTAGGAGTTTACAGAGTGTAGTGTTCTTTTCTGTCTGCTAATATCCACCACCCTAGCCACTGAGATGCTTTTTTTTTAAAAAAAAAAAAAAAAAAAAGTCAGAGGGAAAACTGAAGACCCCTAGTTTTACTGCATTTGATAAATATCACACGTGAAAGTCTCAGAAAAATGTATGTCCACAGATCTACAAAGTTTTATTTAGTTAGCATTTTAGATTAACCTCTACCAAAAACCTAGTTATTGTCTCAAATTTGCCTATTTCTGATAGATTAAATGCCAAACAGAAACCAAGAAACAGTGAAATGCTAATGGAGTACACCTGAAGCAATTGCTGCCTGTTAATGCCTTGACCTTGGAAAGCAATACACAAAAAGATGGCATCATAAAACCGTGCAATTCTTATGAATATGTATGTGCTACTTGATAATAATGAATGTGGTACAGCCATGCATGCACTACAAGATAATGTTGTGCCCTTTGTTGTCTACAGGTTGATAAAAATTAAAGAGTGGGTGGACAAGCACGACCCTGGTGCTTTGGTCATTCCTTTTAGTGGGGCCTTGGAACTCAAGTTGCAAGATATGAGTGCTGAGGAGAAACAGAAGTATCTGGAAGAGAACATG